CGTCCACGGATAACCAGCTCAAATTATGGGACCTCGCCGCGGCGGGCCGCCATATGCGGCAGCAGGAGTGGCGGCCGCGCACCGTTCTCACAGGTGATGAGCCCAGAAAAATCAGCGCTCTACACTCGCGCTTGTGAGCAGAGTTTCACAAATGAGCAATTGGCTGGGCGGGTTATCTGGCGGCAGACACTAAATCATATGAGATTGGTGGCGCGCTATAGCATGGATACAAGTCTGGCCAAGCCACCATTGGCTTCGAGACCGCGCTCTGCTCGCCCTTCTTCCACATGGAGGGAGTCAAAAATATGTCCGAGCTCCATGTTGTGAGCGGCTTCAAGTGCAAGAAGCAGCAATGGTAGGGCATGACCCTGTCATGGCCCTGTCAGCGATATCCTCATACCAATCGCTGGCGCTCCTTGCTCTTGAACCCGCTGACAATGAGACCCTCGGATAAGTCTTTGTAGGCCTTCGTGTTAAGTTGGGATGGGCAGCGCTGTTTTGAAGTTGATGGTCCCATGGCCAGACGCTGTGTCTGTTCTATAGCGTGCCAAGGTCCTCATGCCCTGAGCACTCGGCACTCTCCTGAAGTTGACAGAGAAGCTCAAGATGCAAACCGGATTTTTTGCGATCTACTAGTGGCCATTCCTGCCTCATCGAAGAGTGCATCCTTGTGAAAGAGGCTGGATTTCAGGCCCCAAGTGTGGCTTCTAGACCCTTTGCCTGAAAGTACTCTTATGCCAAAGCAGTCCAGGCAGAGTGCCCACACGCCAATCCAGCGATGCAATTCTGAACAATTGGTCTGTTTCGAATGCCAAATGGCTGTGCGTCGCACTTAGCAACTCAGGGTACATGGTGAAGATCTCTCAGGTGAAGGTCTCTTAGGTAGAGTTAAGAGCTGCCTTTTTAGGTTGGGTTAAGATCTTTGCTTTTGGCTGACCAATCCCCTTGTTTTATTGCAGGGCACACGAACGAGCGCAACTTTGTGGGCTTGTCGGTGACACCGGACGGCTACATAGCGTGCGGCAGCGAAGACAACAGCGTGTACGCCTACACCGCAACGCTGCCAACACCCCTCGCGCGCCACTGCTTCTTCAGCTCGGAGGGCTGCGCCGACTCGGTGCGCCGCCCCCTCTTTATTTCTCTCTTCTAGGGGTTTTTAGGGTTTTAGGAGTGCTCTTGACAAGCCCCTCACTGCGCCACTGCTTCTCCAGCTTCGAGGGCTGCGCCGACTCGGTGCGCCGCCCCCTTTTTATTTCTCTCTTCTAGGGGTTTTTGGGGTTTGAGGAATGCTCTTGACAGGCCCCTCGCGCGCCACTGCTTCTCCAGCTCGGAGGGTTACGCCGACTCGGTGCGCCGCCCCTCTTCATTTCCCTCTTCTAGGGGTCCCAGGGGTTTTCAGGGTTGTTCTTGAAGCTGTGGGCCGCCGTCTCATGCAAGGCTCGGTCCTACTGTGCTGACACGGTGCAATGCTCAGTGCCTTCTAGCACTCCTTCGCCTGTACCAAACGATTGTGTCGGTGTGTTTCGGTCTCTGCAGAGCTGCGCAGAGCTGCAAGCACTGTCCAATGTGATGGAGTAGTTTTAGGGGAGCTGCATTGCTGAATTTTAGCAACAGGCAGAGGCAGTGTATTGGGCAAAAGTTGGACAGTAAGAATTGTGCGACTTATACTCCTGATGTTTAGGGTTTAGTGTAGTGTAGGCTACATTTGGGCAGCAGGTCTTAGGGTCATGGGCATACAGTAAGAAGTACTGCAGGGGCTCGAATCAGCTTCTAAGTATGTCTCTGCTGGCTGGCGCAGGAAGGGGAGGAGCTCGCAGTGGACTCGCACCAGTTTGTGAGCAGCGTGTGCTGGAGCCGCAAGGGGCACACCCTACTCGCTGCCAACTCCCAAGGCACCCTCAAGCTGCTGGAGCTCGATTGAGAGTTGCACTAGTTTCGAGCTCGAAAGGATTTCCTTCGCAGCTGATGGGCATGATGCGAGGTGACTTTGGTGCTGGCCGCCTCTCCACAAGGCACCCTCAAGTTGCTAGAGCTGGACTGAGTTGCATCAGTTTCGAGCTCGAAAGGGTTTCTTCGCAGCTAATGGATATTCAGCGTGCCCTTTGGTGCTGGCCGCTTATTGACAGGGCACCCTCAGGCTGCTGGACCTGAAAATGGAACTCAATTGGCAGTTCTAGGGATGAGGCCTGCACATGAATGGATCTGCCAAGGAGCGTACGCTGCTCTGGTTGCAGCTCAACAAAAGGTGCTGGAGCTCTGCGTGACTCTGAACAAGACTCGAAGAAATGAGTGTTTTTGCTCATGGAAGCACTGCTCCGTTGACCGTATGCAGTAAAGTGTGGCATCTGCTGCTCATCAGTGCAGAGTTTATGAATCTTTGAAGGCGCTGCTTGTTCTTCGAGTCGGTGTCATGGGGGGCGGCAGATTTCAAGTACATGACAGCCCTGCTGTCACTTTCATAAGGAGCGCAGCGGGGGGCCTGAAACATCTAGCACTGGGTGATCAAAGGTGCTCGTGAAATGTTCCGCACGTATAACAAACGGAGTTTCAAAAGAGGTAGTGAAAGGTGGACTTGCGGCGTGATATCAGTGGGCTTTGGCAAAGGAAAATTTGGAGTGTATCAATGGGAGTGGAGTAATGGGGGAGATTGCACAAAGTTGACGATACAATCTGGCGCTCCAACAAGGGACTCTTGGGGACCACCGTGTGCAAATTGCTTTGTATTGGCGGCAACTGCCGCCTGTCTTCTTCAAAGGATATCATATCCTTGAGCGCACTGATTTGTGACATTAGCAGGGATTGAGTCCAGCAGGATACAATCCTTGTTGGAGGGTCTGATCCCAAACAGCTGTCTGAAGTGGCAGTCGATATGAAGACCCTGGCCTTGTTCTGCCTAGGAACGATCCTCATGTGCTGAGGCTCAACACTGTAGGACGCAATGGGGCGTTTGGGTTCAAGTGCCAAACTCGATCTTTACCGATGTGCCTCTCACATCGTTGGGCCTGGTCACAATGCTATTCCTGGCGACTTGGCTCGCCGCCTTGACTGAGAAGAGTTGTGAGAGCTGGTGCGGCGTTTGGTGCACCTGTTGAACGGTTGTGTTCCATGTTCGTCAAATTTGGTATTCTTTGCTTTGGAGGAGAACCGGCGTGCGGGGTCTGAGGTTTTCATTGCTTTGGAGTTGAACATAAGCAGTGGAAATTGGCAAGACAGGGAGACTCGTTGCTGATTCTCGCAGAGTATGGAATGTTGTGGCTGCAGTGTGCACATGTGCCACCTGGATCCACATGGATCCTGAATCAAGATTTACTGTAAAGTGCTGGCTGAGGAAAAAGAAGGGCATTTGAAAATAAGTGTCGCATCGCTTGATGAAATTTGTGTCCCAACCAATGCTGGTCCATGTGCATGTGCCGAGCTGCATGCATGCGTGTGGGCCACATGCATGCATGGCCAATTCAATTGGCCATTATTGAAAAGTGGTGCAAGCTTTTGATAGGAGGCGCATGCAGAGCAAGATCAAGAGGAAAGCTAAGAACACAGCAACTTCCCACCGTCTCAAAATGTGGAGGAGGTATGTATAAGCCTCCACGCTGTCCGATTTCTGCTGGTTTTGAAAGACGAGGGAAGGCAAGCGGAAAGCGTATCTCGGTGAAGGGGAGATGCTCTAGATAACGAGATGAGCCTGGTTGATTGCATCGTGTGTTACTCGATTGCTGAAGTGATCCTGTACTTGACATTACCTGAGGAAACATGACAGTCTAGGCACAGAACAAGGGCAGTCTCCAGTTCGCAATGATAAAGTTCATGTACTGAACGCTGCATAGTGTGGGTAGCAATTAAGAAGAGTTCTCGGATCTTCATGCTGAGCAATAGCAACAAAATAATTGGGAGTTCATATCCTTCAAATATGATACAGTCTGCACATCAGCCAATGGGTAAAGTTGGAGTTGCTCGGGGTGCTCCAACGCACGGCCCCATTGTGTTGAGAAAGAGCAGAGTGACCGCCTCAATCGGCCGACTTAAAGTGTCTGGAAGGAAAAATGGCGCATGTATGACGCGGTCAAGCATCCCTCGATCGGAGCCAGGTGAGAACGGCAGGTCTACCTACATGTGGATGTTGACATCGGGCAGCGACATTTCTTTTAAACCCACCATTATTCACAGACAGCTAGTCATCCAAGTCTACCGCATGCTTAAACATTGTTTAAGAGTCACCTGATCTCCAAGTCCCACCCATGGGAGCAATGGGAAAGCAGTATTGCCCTTTCCTGCACTATTTGAAAGCAGACGTCTGAAGTTGGATATGCTTCCTGACGCATATCCAACCTGCCTTACTCTCCTATCCTGGTCAGCATTCAGCGTGCTTCTCATTTCCCACTGCTGACTGCCAGGCGCTAGCTTGCCTGACCAGATTCCTGCCCCGGCATGCAGGCCAGGACCAGCCAAACTTGTATGGGGAAGTGGGCCTCTTAGAGCTGCAGCAGAGGCAGGCAGCTGCCGTGCACCTGCCGGCAGCCATTGCCAGCACCTCGGCACCCACCTCAGCGAGCAGTGGCGGGTCCCCGGGCCACACAGACAGTGCCAGCAGCAGGGAACGCCAGCGAAGGCTGTGGTTTGCCGCTGCGAAGCCCCCCATGTATGCTGTCGGCATCGTGCCTATCCTGGTGCGCTCTGCCCCCCAACCAACCATCCATCAAGTCCGCAGCACTCGGCTGTCAAACACTGACAACAAGGCACCATCGTACATGAAACAGGGCAGCTTCTAAATATCTGCATTTCTTATTTCTATTCATGCTTGTTGTAGTCAACAGCATATCTACCAGGAGTCCTCCATCTGTTGGGCAGCGCTTACAACCCAAGCGGCGCGCTCCAAGAGAGAGCATTTCAATTCAGCGTCTCGGGGCCTTTCACGAATAGTTTCATGGCAGGGGCAGCAGTAAATAGCAGCATTCCCTCTGCGATGACGGCAAACTCGCATGTCAAAAGAAGTGCTAAAATGTTGTCAGTGCAGGGAGTCGAACCCTGGTCTCCACAGCCACAATGTGGTGTCTTAGCCGTTGGACCACACCAACTTGTCATGCTATTCTTCTTGCCATGCCGCTTTTTGTTACCATCATTCTGCAGCCTTACATCGCTTAATTTCATGCGAAGTGCAATCTCGAAATTTTGATGCGCACGATATTTCATCTCAAATATGCTGATGCGCACAGGTGGGTGCAGGAGCGGCCTACTACAGCACGGGGGCATTTCTGAGCGGCATTTTCTGGAAGCTCATGGCTGGCGCCGTCCTTATCATTGCTTGGCTAAACCTCAGGTGACCGCCATCACAATTCACCCCACTCCTATAAATTGTCATCACTAACAACCATCTAGAAGACCTGCAAAAGAAGCCACCTGGGGCCCCGCTAGGTGGACCAAAGCAAGAGCAGAAAACATGCCCAAGCGGCCGTGCCTACTTGTGTTTTAACAAAGGGGTGCAAAAGCACATGCACATTTGCACGGGAGTCAAAGACAGTCAACGGCACCTTAGATTATTGTGCTGGCTGCAGCAATGATGCGTACGACGCGCAGACGGGCGTGGATGAAAACAAGGAGGAGTCGGTTGTGAATCTGACCGGCGGCAACCGCAGCGGCGTGCTGGCGCTCGCCAATGCATGCCTCCTGGCCGGTGCATGGCTGCTGCATGCGGGCACTAAAGCAGCGGTGCGCGCCCCTGGTTCCATCTCTAGGGTTGGGGGATTTATGCAAGGGCCTAGACAAGAAATGCTGGCTCCTGGCTGGCTGTCAGCCGGCACATGGTTGCTGCCTGCCAGCACCTAAGAGGCAGTGCGCGCCCCTCCCGGTCATGGGATTCCATCTCTAGGATCGGGGCAAAGAATCAGGGGTTGACTCCCTAATGCATGGCTGCTGGCTGGGGCATGGGTGGCGGTGTGCTCGTCCATTTGGGATGCCTTGCGGCGATTTCAGTGCAGTCCGTCTTCTCTGTGAATCATATTTCAAAGTTTGACGATGCAAGGAGCGCGTTGGTCGACCTTGTGGGCAAAGTCTGAAAGTCAGAGTGCCTGAGTCTGCATTGAATGCGAGCCAAAAAAAACCTCTCTAAGCGCGTGGTTGAATGCTCCTGAATACAGGGTGATGTGCATGTGGGAGCGGCACTGGCGCTGGCCATCGGGATGGGCTACATGTATCAGGGGCCGCCATTCAGGTGCGCCATGATAAAACATCCCTCTTCCAAAATTCCTGGGCTGTCTTTGCAGAGCTTTCTGACCTGCTGGTATCAAGGGACTTCTCTGCCATTCATGTCTGAGACACAGGCTGTCTGCCCGCAGAAAATAGTTTGTAAATACTGTTTGCTCTATACCCCCTTTATTAGGGACTTTTTGTGTAAAAGCCAAAATCCACCATTGCATTCAGGAAGAGAAGTAATTCATACGGGTCATTTAAGCTTACCTGAACCCTAAATCCTTGACCCCCAAATCCTACAACCCTAACTCAAAAAGGTTAGAATTATTTTATGTTGTGTCTGCCCAGGTTGAGCTACAAGGGGCTGGGAGAGCCGCTGTGCTTCCTGGCCTTCGGGCCGCTTGCGACCTGCGCATTTTTCCTCGCCCAGGTGCGGCCCCGAATGCATCTCCCTTTTCTTCTTTCTCACCGCCCGTGGAAAAGAGACGTGCCTACATTTTTTTGGATGGACAGCTTGACGGGTTTTGGCGCTCTTTCAGCTGGACGGCGAAGGGATCCGTATCCCCCTCCCACACCAAGTGTTTGACGCACCACTTGTTTCCTTGGTGTGCTCATATATATTTTTAAGGGTTGCAGGTCACCCTAAAACCCCCAAACCCTAAACCCTATATAAACAAAAACAAAAATAAATCTTTTTGATCAAAAGCAGAGTCAGGCAGTGCTGACCTGGCGCGTTGCCTCTTCAGGCGGGCGCGGCCAGCGCGGTCGGCTATGCGTCGGTGACGGCCGCGGCCGCGGCCGCGTCGGTGATCGTCGGCGCGACGACTACCTCCGTGCTGTTCTGCTCGCACTTCCACCAGATCGATGGCGACACCGCGGCCGGCAAAATGTCGCCGCTTGTCCGCCTTGGCCCCTCCCGTGGGTACCAGGTGTCTATATTTTTATTTATTTATTTTTTAGCTAGCGGTACATACACCCTCTGCAACTGCATAAGCCAATATCAGTGCCACATCCACAAAGCTTGCAAACCCTGACATGAGCGCTAACTCAGCCACCATGCCGTTGTCCCTCATCCACAATTGCATTTCTGCCGCCCATGATCAGGCAATTGTGACATTCCCAACAGAAGATGCTGCATGGCAGGTGTTCACTAGCCTGGACTCTGCCTCCCATCATGGGCCCAAGGCCTCTTCTGGGGCTCATTATATATTGCAGAGCATCCTGTACACGCCTCTCGCTTGTGCATCGAGCGAATATCAACCTCACTTGTGGTAAACTTCTATGACAGCACAGAAGGAGGTTTCTTATGCTGAACAGGTGCTGAGGGCTGGCGTGCTGCTGACCTATTTGTTGCTCGATGTGGCGGCTGCGCTGAGCTGGCTGCCGCTCACATGCCTGTTCGCGCAGATACTCTCCGTGCCCAGCGTACGCTCCTTGACCTTCTCAACCCTTCCTTGTCACCCACCTTTTGTAGTGTAACATGTCTGAAGATCCCAGTATTGATCTGTTGCGTGGGAGCATCGCCCTCATCGGTCCCTCTTCAAGACCTTGCTCCAAGGCTTCCAACACTGCTTGGCTTGCAATGTACATTAAATTGAACAGAAAGAGGGCATCTCGGCATTAGCCAATGAGATCGGCGCCAACTCTATTATCTGTATCAACCGATAGTATTACATTTAATCGACTTGACTGGTTTAACCGACTGCAGGCGATGGCGCTGGTGGACTTTGGAAAGAGGACACATGAGGAGCCGGAACTTGTGCGGCCGCTCAAGCGCTATGCTCTCAAGTGGCACATGGCCCTCGGCGCCTCTCTGGCCGCCGGCCTCACCATCGCCGGCCTCCCCGCCACAACTTTCCTTCTCTAGTACATCCAGAACAGGGTACTTAAGGTTTATATACTTTATTTAGGGTGAAAAAGATAAATCCTAAATAAACGCGTCATATGGCGCTCGGCGCGGCCCTGGCCGTCGGCCTCCCCGCCGCAACAGATCCAGGACAGTATAATCAGGGTTTATATATTTGTTTTTATTTAGGGTTTAGGTTGACCCTGAACCCTAAGGATATAAACCCTAAAATAAACATAGAAGGTAGTTGATGAGCGGGCTGACATCTCACCCAGGGTAAAAACAGGGGACGTGAGCGGTAGTACTTCTGCGAGAGAGCAGAGGTGATCAAGGCTTCCGAGAAAACTTTTACTGCGGCCCTGAAGGAGGTTGCTCGCTGCGGCCTTTCTATAGGAAACTCTCTCCTAAAGAAAGCTGTGGGTGGAAACTGGGAGGATCGGCGTGTGAATGTGTGTTGGGTGGTTGTTACGCAGTTGATTGAGAACGGGCTGAGAGTGCTAGAAAAAGGGCCTGCTGGGCTAGGTAATATCCAGAAGATATTGTTGCAGGCTGCAGCAATTATCTTAAAGAGCTGAGGTATTAAATTGATATGGGATGACTCTCTTTATAAACGACCCTGGAAATTTGTCAGCTGCAGCCTTATGAGAGGGGAGCTTGGGTGACATGATCATCCACTGCAAGCATATTGGTACTCATCAAGTTTGCGCTCATGAGAGTTAAGGATACTTACGGATTCTACCAACTTTTGTTTTGTGAAAGCATTCCATGCGCAAGCCCATTCCAGCTGTAGTTTGTTGAAAGCAGCCCATGCATGCTTGCAGTTCTGCGAGCAAGACTCCTGGCATGTGTGCAATTCAGCACTGAAGCTTCTAAGTACTGGCTTGGAGGGTGTCATATCTGTGCAGAAGGGAACTGCAACTTTTTGAAGGGAGTCGTGAGTGTGAGATGTGGCCAAAGATCCGCCATTTTTGAATTTTGCCATGGCGAATAGCCACTTTGCTGGGCAGTGAATTGCTGCCAGTGATGTTCCTAGTTTTGCCAAAAGGCATGCACAAAAGTATCGTGTGTCAGAAGAAGTGTTTTCGAGAGGGAGTTTGGTGAAGTGCATCTGCATTGTGAGAGAGCATTGGATTCGAATTGAATTTGCTTTAAGTTGAAATGACATTATGTGGCAGAAATTCTGCCGCAGAATGCTAAGGTCAGATCTGGTATGCTGCCAGTCTTCATGCATTGGCGTGCATCTAGCATGTCATGAGCAAATCTTTGCTTACAAGACTGCGACAAATGGACACCTCAGCACCAGTTTTAACTCTTTTAAAAACAAAAGAAGTTAATCAGGGTCAAGAAGCAATGAAGCAAGCACAATGAGAATCCTCAACAGGGCTCCTTCTGTTTGTAATGCTGTTACTTCATAAAACAGAACATGCACTACTTCCGAAGAGTGAGTCACAGGAATAGCTGACCATGGTGTTTCACTTCTAGTGCGCGCTCTGTAGCAAGGATCCTCCCGGAATGCATACTAACACAACTCCCACTTCTTCTGCAATTTTACTTTTTCTTTTAGTACTTCTTATACCCCCACATAGACTTCACCGTGACAGCACTAGGCCCAGTCACACTCACCCTTAGGATTAATTTATAGCAAGCTGGCTGATAATTATTTCATAAAATGCCCCCTAAGGCCTTCAAATTAGCATAGAAGCCCCAACCAATTCAAGGCACTGCCCAAGTCGGCAACCCTTGCTCCTGCCACCAAACTGGCATACAAAATTTTGCGTGATTAAATTAAATTGCAGTTCACTTCTCTGGGGTTTGGGATTTTCGCCACGAGCTGTCAGCGACAGGTGCTGCAGCCGGCACCACTCTGACAGATTTGACTGGCAGGGCAGTGCATGCACGCAAGCATTCCAATGTCCTGTTTAGGCATCAGCCCTCTGCACTGGCACCCGGTCCCACCTCATTCTCCTCGCCCACAGGACTGACCTGCCATGACATCAAAGATTGTCGGTGACCATGCAGTCAACAGGAATTTCGAAACAACCT